CCAGGCTCCCACCTTTGTATTAGTACAGGGGAACTTCCCCTCAAGGTCTAGGTGTAGAAGGGGGCAGGAACACAGTACTCCAGCTTCCTGGGGTGTATTTAAGTCTCTTACAGGCCTTCTTTGCGGTTGCTAGTTACTTGGGCTGGATCTGGAATACAGCTAGTGAAGCTTATGACCTCCTTGCCTTCTTCCTCCATCTTATTTCTCACCAGACTAGCCCTTTCTTCTATTTTTTTCCCAAAGATTTATTTATTTATGCATATAAGAACTGGGGTAGAGGCCAGAGGTGTGGGGGGTGAGAGGATTCACCAGAGACAGAGAGGGGAGCAGAACAGGCAGACTGACTGAAATACACTGCTGAGAGGAGCAGTGGGAGAATCAGGAAAGGTCTGCTGTGCCATGTGGGTAGCTCCCTGGCCGGCCAGAGATCGAACTGGTACCGCAGAGGCTGCAGAGAGATTTATAATGCTGTGCTTAAACCCTTGCGCCACCAGGGAGGCCTAGACCAGCCCTTTCTGAGGTTTCTCACAGTGTCTCCATTTGAGGGGCTCCAGAACTCAGATTTAAAGACTCATCAGACCTGAAAAACCACTGCTGAGAAGAAGGTCCATGCCCTCAGGTTAGACTTCTCATATCACTGGTTCCTAACTTATTTGGATCTACAAACCTCTCTGATTATCTGATGAAAGCTACAGTTTCAACTCTCTCAAGTCCACCAGCAGATCCCATGTTAAGAAACGCTGCCTTAGCTAATGGTTCAAAGCCTAGAGACCTTGGGGTTGGGATTCTTAGTCCTCAGCTGGGAAATTTTTCTTTTTTCTTTTTTTTAAAGATTTATTTATTTATACAAGCACTGGGGTACAGGCCAGAGGCACGGGAGGAGTGAGAGAATTCATCAGAGACAGAGCAGGGAGCAGAACAGGCAGAAGGACCAGAAATACACTGCTGAGAGGAGCAGCGGGCGAGACAGGAGAGGTCGGCTGCGCCATGTGGGAATCTTCCTGGCCCACCTGGAATTTGAACCGGCGCTGCAGAGGCTGCGGACAGCTTCACAGTGCTGCGCTCAACCCGCTGCGCCACCAGAGAGGCCCATCAGCTGGGAAATTTCACACGACCTATACACCCAGCATCCAACTTAGTGGGTAATTCAGAGCAAGGTCAAGAGGGTTCTTTTGGAAATGCTAAAACCTTGGATTTCTTATGAAAGAAAGGAATAGAGAGTTCTTTTATAGAATATAAATATCTTCGTCTGTGAGAAGAAGTATTGGCATATTTGCTTTCCAAGTCCACCCAGTTCAGGACACACAGCAAGAATTCATGAGCACCATCATGTGCAGTGGGGGATGACACACGATGATTATGAATGGCTTTGTGCCATGTACCATGGAGGAGATTGGCAGTCCGTATAAGTGGAATGTGGACAAATTAACACCCTCACCTCCATCTTCCTAAAGTACATGGCACATAGTTGTTGGTTTTTATTTATTTTTTTAAGATTTACTTTATTCATTTATGCATACAAGAATTGGGGTGTAGGCCAGAGGTATGGGGGGTAAGAGGAATTCACCAAAGACAGAGTGGGGGAGCAGAACAGACAGATTAACTGAAATACACTGCTATGGGGAGCAGCAGGTAAGACAGGAGAGGTCTGCTGTGCCGTGTGGGTAGCTCCGTGGCGGGAGATAAAACTCAGGCCACAGTGGCTGGCGACAGCTTGATAGTGCTGAGACTTTACCCCCTGTGCCACCAGGGAGGACCTGTTGCTTTTTTTTTTTAATTAAATATTGGAGGACTGACACAGTTGAATGACTTGATTTTTCCCATAGAGTCATTTTATGCAAACCAACTGGATTTTGAAGAATGTCTCCCAAAGGCAATAAATTTTTGTTTTGCCTTAGTTAACATTGAGTCCATTATTCCTGACTGCCTTTAGGTTCAATTATCTCTTCAGGCTACTCCCTATGGGTGATAATAAAACCATTATGGGGAGAGGGAAGGCATCCAGAGTGCCGGACTTGTTTGGAGGCTCTTGGAGGGTAAAAGGGGTGGATTAGGGTGCGGGAGCAGGCAGGGACAGATAAGCTTTGAGATTCAAACATTTATTTGCCTTCTCTGAATTTTAGATATTATTTGGGCTGGGGGAAGGAATATATATATAAATTAAATTCCTTGTGGTTTTTTTTTAACTCCTTTCTTCCAGTCTTGGTTCATATTCCTATCCACTTACCTAAGTATGAGTTAAATAATGCAATATTCTTTTGTGTTTTATTTTTTAAACTTAGCACTATAAAACACTTTAATGATGTTATTTATTCCTTAAAGTGGTTTTCAAAAACAGACACAGCTCTCCTCTTTTTCCTGACTGTAAATATAAAGCATATTATTATTTTTTTTATAAATATATTTTTTTAAAGATTTATTTTATTTATTTATTTATTATATAAGCACTGGGTACAGTCAGAAGCGTGGGAGGGTGAGAGAATTCACCAGAGCCAGAGCGGGGAACAGAACAGGCAGAAGGACCGAAGTACACTGCTGAGGGGAGCAGCGGGTGGCAGGAGAGGTCTGCGCGCCATGTGGGACCCTCCTCCGGTGACCGGGGAGCAGCCGGGGATCGAACTGCTGCAGAGGCTGCGGGCAGCTTCGCAACCCAGCGCTCAACCGCTGCGCCACCGGGGAGGCCCTAAAGCATATTAATTTTTTGATGTAGGCAAATGCAAAGAAAATGCATGACTCTTGATATTTTGAAACATATCCTTCAAGATTTTTTCCCCTATACTTATATAAATGCATACCTACAAAATAGGATCATGCTGTTTTCCATGTCATTAAATATATAGTAATTTTACATTTAAAATTTTAATTACTATTTATAGTGTTTTGGTAGTATTTTACACATTAATTTTAATATTTAATAGAGTGATGTTTTTAAGTATGGAGGTACCAAAACTTAGCTACTCATGACGCTTTTCTATTGATGACCCTTATTTGTTTCCAAATTGTCACTATTGTAACTATCCTCAAAAACACATCTTCTCCCCTTAAAACTAATTCCTAGAAGTAGAATTTGTGGGTCAAAGAGGTGCATATTTAGCATTTTACATGACCAATTATCACTCCCAATAGATATGTATTAGCTCTTCTCCCCTCATTCTTTTCAATATAATTATCTTTTTTACCAGCCACAAAACATTTATTTATTTATTTATTTGTTTATTTATTTATTTATTTATTTATAGAAGAACTGGGGTGTAGGCCAGAGGTGCCAGGGATGAGAGGTTTCACCAGAGACAGAGTGGGGAGCAGAACAGTTGTATTTATTGAAATACACTGCTGAGGGGAGCAGCAGGCGAAACAGGAGAGGTCTGCTGCACCATGTGGGTTGCTCCCTGGCCAGGGATCAAACCCAGGCCAGGACCTCCCCGGTGGCGCAGCGGTTGAGCGCTGGGTTGCGAAGCTGCCCGCGCGCAGCCTCTGCGGCGCCGGTTCGATCCCTGGCTGCTTCCCGGCCACCAGAGGAGGGTCCCACATGGCGCGCAGACCTCTCCTGCCGCCCGCTGCTCCCCTCAGCAGTGTACTTCGGTCCTTCTGCCTGCTCTGCTCCCCGATCTGGCTCTGGTGAATTCTCTCACCCTCCCATGCTTCTGACTGTACCCAGTGCTTGTATAAACAAACAAACAAACAAACAAAACAAATAAATAAATAAATAAAAATGCCTCTATTAAAAAAAAAAAAAAAAAAAAAACCCAGGCGATAACTGTCTCCTAGGCCACTAGGGAGGGCCTACAAAATAATCTTGAAAAAAAGCCCAGCGAACACACCTTCCAGTCTAAAGTTAGAGTCACATTGTCCCCCAGGAATGTTGAGCCACCATCTCCCTGTCATGTGTCAATACTGCCTCTAGATTTCGGGGCGGGGGAGCAGATTTTGTGGCTGGACGCAAGCCCAGATGGTCAGACTCAGTGCTGGCAAAGGCAGGAGAAGAGGACCCAGAGGACATGCAGGTAAAGGCCAGGAGATGGAGTTCAGCGTTCCAGGGAAGAAGATGCAGTTTAAGTGAGTAAACCAAGGCTGCAATCATTTACCACCACCCACAGCACCCCTTGTGTGCTGATGAAGGAGGTGAGGGGGTGCTGGTACCTTAGCAGGGGCGGGGTCTCCACTTAGTCCTGGTGTCTTGGAGCGCCTGAGCCAGAAGGTGCAGAGAACAGATGTGACACCCCTCTTCCCCCAACACACACACTCCCCTGCCTTCCCCAGCCTTGCGGAGTTTAATTTCTTAGCCTTAGATCTCTGGAAGGCAGAACTGGTGAAGAAAGCCAGAGTTTGACCCAAATCCGCATGCCCCACTTAGTGGCCACGGACCATGGGTAAGTTACGGGAGCTATATGTGTCTCCACTCCTTGATGAAATGAGATCACTCCTGGTATCTACCCTAGGGAAAATGGCTGTGCGGGTTGAGATACATGACGCTTGTCTATACTATGATATGCCTGTCCTCCCCCAACAGTCCCACCACCCAAGCCAACACCATTGGCTTATTAACTTCTTGGAGGCTCAGAGGGATAGAAGATCAGTCACAGTAGAAATTTTCTGTATCCTGTACTTTTTTTTTAACACACCCTCTAGTCCTTTTTCAAAGAAGTGTCCAAGTCCTTTGTTTTTTGTCCAGATTTGGAAAGAATGTTACAAACCCTGGTCTTCACTTTTTCAGGCAGCCAATGGTGTAACTGAGGTGGCAGAAGGAGATCTCCTAGGACTGTTACTTCAAAAGCCTTATCAGGGTTCAAAATCAATTGCATCAGACAGTTCTCTTGGGAAAAGGGGTGGCAGCCCCCACTGGCCAGTAGTAAACTCTGACACCATCATGGGGCTACCTGGCACATCTTGCTCAGTTCCCTAGTCCAGCTTCCAGTTGAAGTTGATGGCTGGTGGCCACCCCCAGGAATGAGGGTGTGGGGCGGGGGCTGGGCTCTGTGTTGGCAGTTACCATGGTTTTGCTCAGAGTTCTGGAGCCAACCTGCCTCACTCCCTGAGATGCTCAGGTCACAGAAGCAGCAAGTCAGAAGCCTGAGGGGACTGACGGAGTGCAGCGCTGGAGGCCGCTAGAGCCTCTGTGGGGATGGAGGCCTCAGAAGGGCAAGGTGGTGAAGAGGATAAGCCACAGGAGACGGTGAAATGGGGCTGAGGATGTGATGGAGGGAGACAGGGAGGGTTCTTGAGAGGTTTGTTTTGAAAAGCAGAGAATATGAAATCAAGGAAGAGAAGCAAAAATGGTGCAGCACGTGAGCTTAGCAAGAGGTCAAAAGGACAAGAGAAGGGGGCCTCCCCGGTGGCGCAGCTGTTGAGCACTGGGTTGCGAAGCTGCCCGCAGCCTCTGCAGCGCCGGTTCGATCCCCGGCTGCTCCCCGGCCACCAGAGGAGGGTCCCACATGGCACGCAGACCTCTCCTGCCGCCCGCTGCTCCCCTCAGCAGTGTACTTCGGTCCTTCTGCCTGCTCTGCTCCCCGCTCTGGCTCTGGTGAATTCTCTCACCCTCCCGCACTTCTGACTGTACCCAGTGCTTGTATAAATAAATAAATCTTTAAAAAAAAAAAAAAGGACAAGAGAAGGTTAACTCATTCAAACAGATTATTAAGTACATATTTTCCTGGGGAAATGATGGGAGAAGGGTCTTACCTCATTGGTTACGAAGAGAGAAGAGCATGTGTGTGTGTGTGTGTTTGTGTGTGTGTGTTTTTTATGGTTTGCTTGTGTAATATCTCTAATGTATTTATGGAGTTGGTTAGCCAGAACTCCCCCTCTGGGAGTTCCTAGAGGAACCCTGGTCCCATATCCTCCTCACTTACCTCCTTCCCTAGCCCTTCTCTCTTCATCCCGAGTGGTCTAGTCCTGAGTCTTCCTTGTTTCCCTTGAATACGGGCTGGAGTTAATACTCATTTTTACTGTGGGACTTTTGAAAGGTCAATGTGTTAGTCTAATCCTGTCCTTGACTTCTAGTATTGATTCAATCCCTTTGTCTATTAATTTTCCGCTTTATTTGTCCCACTTTTGCTGTCAAAAGTTTCCTTCTTGTTATTACCATCACCATCACAGGTTTTCCTGGGCACACCTTAGCATGGAACGATGCTAAAGGTTAGACATGCAAAGAGGTAGACCTGAAGCTTAGGCACTTAATAAATGTCAGCTAAATGAATGGGTGAATGAATCCCTGCTCATGCCCTCAGGGAGTTACCTACATGGAAAGTTCCTGGAAACTGCAACTCTAAGCAGAAAACAAAGTAGAATGACCAGCAACGTTCAACATTCAATAATATGGGCCCAGATTTCTTTTCTCTGGAAGTCATAATAAACTGAAGTTGAATGAAACAAAGTTATTTGAGGACCTCCAATCCCTTGGTGCCTCAGTGCTCTCATCTGTAATCAGGGGTAATAATAGCTAACCTCACAGTTTGTGGGAGAATAAAATATGTTAATGTTTATCAAGTGCTTTTCAAAGTCAGCTAGTGTAGCCTGCTATAATTATTATAAAAGAAATGGGTAGGGCATTCTTGGTTTTCTAAGCAGGGTTTCTCAAAGATGGGTTTCTTGGCCCAGGGCTCCCTCACCTCAGTGCTGGCTCAAGGAAGAGGTCATAGGGAAAGTGAAAAGGGTTTTGGCCGGCATTGGGGCCATGGTTGCCCAGCACCGCCCCACAGAAGCAGTAGCCGAAGCCCCCAGCTGACCACTGTGCCCTGCCTCTCCCCAGGTGACGGACGTGCCCTGCTTAGAGAGGCGCTCCAGCACCACCCCTGCCAGGGATGCGCTTGTGCGCCATGCCAAGGGCCTGGGCCAGGACACCTTCAAAATTGTGAGTAAGGGGCCCACCCCAGACCCTGCCCCCTCCCCGCTTTCCTCCCCAGGCAGGAGACCTGTATCACAGCTCACACCTGTGTCACAGGCTCCCTCTTGTCATACTCTTGGGAAGGAAGAAGAGTAGAATGTTGACTAGAGACTCCTCCCTTCACACACACAGTCCCTCCTGGGTGACAAGGACGGTATCCGTGCCCACCTGCTGGACACTCAGGGCAGCCTATACCATTTTTCTCCTGTGATGTCTCACATCACCTGTTGTCTCCTCAGTGTAAAGAATATCTAAGGCCGCTGAAGAAGTTCCTGAGAAAGTTGCATCCGCCCAGGGACCTTCCCCAGAAGAAGAAGCTAAAGTACATGAAGCAGAGTCTGGTGGTCCTAGGGGACCACATTAACACCTTCCTGAAGCACTACTGCCGAGCCTGGGAAATCAAGCACTGGAAAAAGTAGGGCAGCCTCCTTGTCCTCCTCACTCCACCCACACCTGGGCCACCCCTTCTCCATTCAAGGTCACGCCTCAGTTGAGATCCCTCAGCCCTTCTTCACCAGTATGTAGAGGAGTTGGGATCTCGGAGTGAGGCTGGTGAAGAGGGAGAGAGAATAGGCTGGAGATTATAGGTCCCTTAGTCACTCAGGGCAGCATTGATGGCACTTTGGCTGTGCACACAGTGCACGAAGACCTCTCCTGACCTGAAAAGAATGTTCTTTGATTGAAAAACCACTGTTCAAGTGTGTGGCACAGGTCCTCATCGCCAGGACCAGGTATTCAAGGCAAATTCCCCCCTCTCAGGCCTCCCTGTTAGCGTAAGGAGTTAAGCACAGCACTATGAAGCTATCCGCAGCCTCTGCAGCATGCGTTCAATCCCTGGCTGGCCAGGGAGCTACCCACATGGCGCAGCAGACCTCTCCTGACTTGCCCACTGCTCCCCTCAGCAGTGTACTTCAGTCAATCCGCCTGTTCTGCTCCCCACTCTGTCTCTGGTGAATCCTCTCACTCCCCACACCTCTGGCCTGTACCCCAGTTCTTGTATGCATAAATAAATAAATCTTTAAAAAAAAATTCTTTCCTCTCCATGCCCCCAACCAAGTCTCAGGGGACAGCCTCCCTCAGACTTGTGTTTCTCTCCCCGCAGGATGCTGTGGAGATTTGTCTCCCTCTTCTCAGAATTGGAGGCCAAGCAGCTTCGCAGGCTCTATAAGTACACCAAGAGCAACCAGACAGCCAAGTCCCTGGTGAGGCTCGCAGGAGAGCTCTTCTGGATCCAGCTGAGGGGTTGGCTGGCGTATTGTATGATTGTTGGAGGGAGATCTAAGCCGAGGGGCCCTCTGATAACACCAGTGCTCACTGGGTCCTTTCTGAGGCACACTGCCTGAAACGACCCCAGTGCCCCTCATTTTTACCCCTACAGTGAGCACAGATTGGCTAAAGAGAGCAGAGACTCAGCTTCTAGTGTTCACTCTCTGTTCACCCTGCACACTGGCCCCAAGTTAGCAGGGACAGGGACATTCTTGAGGAGCCAGGGAGGGACAGTGGTGGCCAGGCAGACAGGCACAGCTTAGGAAATGCTCCTGGGACTGTCCGCAGAGCCCGACCTGGCACTGTCCGAAAGCAGTGGTTCTCAAACACTTTGGTCCTAGGTCATGTCTACCCTCTTAAAAATCACTGAGAACACCCCTCCCTCCCAAAACATTTGTTTATGTAGCTTATTTCTTTTGATATTTGATCTATTAGAAATTAAGGTTAAAGAAAAAATTCAAAAATATGAATTTGCTAGCTCTCTTAAAAACAGAAACAAGGCATTCATTATATGTTAACATAAATAATCTTTTTGAAAAATAACTTTCTCAAAACAAGAAAGGTAGTGAGAAGAGTGGCATTTTACACTTCTGCAAATCTCTGTAGCGTTTGGTTTAGTAGAAGACAACTGGATTGTCACATATGCTGAGGCGGTCACTCTCTTGTGGTATATTGATTTGATTGAAGTACATGAAAAAAACCTGCTCCATAGAGTTGGAAAAGAGAAGCATTTTTGGATAATCGTGGATTTTTTTAATACCACCCCTGAATATCAGTTAACTTTTAAAAATTCATAACTTTTAAAGTAGTTTAGGTTTATAGAAAAATTGAGTGGCAGTAGAGTATATCTCCCCCTCCTGCTTCCCTTACCATTAGCTTCGTGCATTGGTGGGGTGTATTTGCCATCACTGATAAGCCAATATGCATTTACATTCTTTGTGCTGCACATTCTATAGGTTCTGACAAATGTACGATGAGATGTATCCACCACTACGGTATCATACAGAATAGTTTCACTTCCCCTAAAAAAAAAAAAGCCCCGTGCTCTACCTATTTAACCTTTTCTCCTCCCCAAAGAAGCACCGATTTTTTGCTATAGTTTTGCCAGAATGTCAGAGTCAGGTCATACAGTGTGTAGCCTTGTCGGGTTTATATTCATGAACTTTCCATACTAGGTTACATTAGAACCCCCTAGTTTCTCTCCCCCTCCTTTTCGGGGCTCTGCGAGGTCGAAAAAATTTCAGGGACCTCCAAGTGTTCACAGAACACACTTTAAGAATCACTAGTTAAAAATAATAATTATAGGTAACAGTTTCTATGTCCAGGCCCTTCATGTTTCCTCCTGTGATCTTCAAAAGTAACCTACGTGGTAATTAGAATTATTGTCCACGGACTATAAATGAAGATGCCAAATGTCAGGAGGTGACGACACTGGACACAGGCCACATGCAAGTAGGGGGGAAGACCCAGTCAAGCCTAATCTGGCTCTGAGGAGACCCCAGCTCTAACATGCCCCCCCAACCCCCCTTCAAGGGGGGGGACCCTCCATGCAGCTTTAGCCAAATCTGGGCCTGTTTCCAGCTCTGAACATTAGTGGAATCTGTGGAACATTTCACTGATTCCTTCTCTGAATAGAAGGAGCTATCATTTCACTGGTTAGGAAAAATTTAAAAGGTATTTGCAGGGTCTCAGTTTTAATTTTGCGAAGGGAGCAACACAAATACCCTTGTTTCATTACAAATAAGACAGCAACTCAATAAAGAGAGGACATGTATCACCAAGGAGACAGTTGACAACCGGCCTCCATGTCCCCTAGGTCCTTCACTTCCTGTCTGTGACTCTCACCCCGTCCTTCTGGTGAGGCACATGTCGGGGCAGCCAGGCCTCAGCAGGTCCTCTGGGAGGTGGGCCCCACTCTTGTCCACACTCCTTTCAACACCGAGGCCTCTTGCAGGTGGCGTTCTGCCCGTTGGACACCCGGGAGAGCTCCTTGCTGGCCGAGCAGGAAGACAGTCTGCCCAAGCTCTGCAGCGCCTGGGGGCTGCGAGGCAACATCAGCGGCATGAAGGAAAGGCTGTCCAAGATGCAGGCCCCGGGCCACCACGAGGCCTCCCTGCTGGGGGAGCCAATGTCCCCGCTCCACATCAGGAGAGGTGATGCCTGGGTGGTGGGCGAAGCCTGGGAGGAGGGCCTTGCGGGTGCCTGCTGCACCCGGGAGCCTCCCGACCCTCCTCTCCCCACTCCGTCTTCCCTTGGCCCAGCATTTCTCTTCCTGTTTTTCCTTCCCCTTCTCCACTTTCCCCCCCTTTTCCTAGTCCCTCCCACGCTCCAGGTAAGCTTATTACAGAGAGTTGCAACCTACAGGTAAACTAGAGAGAGAAATCACCCATCGGCCTGGGCTGGCCGTGGCTACTAACGTTTTTGGTGTTTCCTGTAGTGTTCCGTACAGCCACCCTCCACGTGGAGGTCTCTTGATAGTTTTGTTTCCTGCATTTTTCAGTTACCATGTAAACAAAGGCACAAGATTAGAAGCAGTGCTGAGGCTGTTTCTGGCCACCAGGAACAGGACTCTCTGGAAGTGTCCCAGCAGCAAAAGGACGCCCTCTGCCAGTGTTGGGTGGAGCATGAGCTAAAGGAGGGTTCATTCCTTCAGTGAGGAGGAAGTCCAGCGGATGGCTGTGTGACCACCTGGCCTGGCTCTCTGGACCAAGGCTGTGGGGTTGGTGAATACAGCCTCTCAGTGAAAGGGGCCTTTGCCAAACCGAAACCTATGAAGGAGCCTCTCCGCCCTGTGCTGTGGAGAGATGTTGGAGCTACCCACCTCTAATTCTTCTGGAACTAGCTTCCTGGGCCACAGTTAGCTGATCTTGTTCAGCTGTGTCCTAGAGTGGCAGGGAAAGTGAAGGTAAATGGTGGCCTGAGGATCTTAGAGCAGACTCCTGAACTGGACCCGGGTATTGCTCTGAAGGCCTGGCTAACTGGGGTTAATGCAGGTCAGCAGCTGTGTGAGATCAAGGTAAGGACAGGTAAAGCGCAATAGGCTTGGGTTAGATTCAGCAGCTACTGAGATCCAGAACCCAGCATGGGCTCTAGGAGATTCCTTTTGCCCTTATGTTTAAATTAAGGACGTCAAACAAACAATGGAATAGAGAACAGTCCATCATTAAGATGATCTAGGCCAAGCAGTCCTTGAATCAGATGAAGCATGAGCTCCGGGCATTTGGGTTAACCTTTCCCTGGGTCAGGTGCTTTGTATCTCTTTATCTCACTTAGCCTCTGTATCACCCCAATTAAATAGGTATTACCCTCCCTCCCCCCCCTTTAGAGAAGAGCAATGTGAGTCCATAGGGCAAAGGTAGGACAGGCTACCTGGGGAGGTAAGTTGGGGAACAAGCTCTCTAGAAGGGGGTAGGAAGTGGAGGAGGGAGGGGAGCGGAGGAGTGGGAGGAAGGGTATGTGCAGAGGTGAAGGCAATGAGCAGACCGCCCTGCTTTGCAGGTGAGTGGAAGGAAGCACAGATGTGCAGGATAGGGCATAACAGGAAGAAGCCTTGGCTGGTGGGTAAACAAGTCTGGCTTTTGTACAGTTCTTAAAATAACATTTCATTACTTCAAACATAAGCATATCACAGAAAATAGGGTAATACATCTGTATTAAGCAAAAATAAGAAAATATGAACATCATATTGTCATCACCACTGTTAACACTTTCCGGATTATTTTTATGCAGATGAATATACGCTGCCCTTAAACATCTCCAGAGTTAGGGGCACTGTAAGGGCAGGACTGGACCACTGAGCAGGTTTTCTGATCCCATGCAGACCAGGTAAAGGAGGAGTCAGAGTCCTCAGTGGTTTTGCAGGTTTTTTGTTGGGGTTCACCAGGCATATGGCAGGCAGGGGTCTGGCTGGGGGGCTGGGAGACCTGTTAGCTAACAGGCCTCCCAGCCCCCAGCAAATCTTCACTCTATCTGAGCTCTCTGGAGTTCGTTCTGCTGTTTCTCGGCTTCTCTTTCGGCTTCGGCTTCAGCTTCTACTGCTGCTGCTGGCGTCCCCGTGACGTCGCCCTTAAAAGCACAGTCTTAGCTCAGCTGAATCCCATCTACCTATGCCCACACCCTATTCCAGGTGCCCGCCATCAGGCATACATTCAGGACAAGGATCCATCATTTATCCTGATGGCAGAAGGGCAGAAAAGCCTGATATTTTCTTTACCCTACAGGCACCAATGCCCCCACCCCACATTAGGAAATCCTCATATACCTTGACTTCCCCAAAATTTTAATATAGTCATCCCTGGGTCTAGGGTGTAGGGGGGGGGGATTGATTTTGGGAAACCTCTCAGATAATAAAATCCAAAGATGCTCATCAAGTCCCTCGTAGTTCACCTTCTATATTCACGGGTTCCAGTGTCTGTGGACTTGAATCCAACAGATTAGAAAAAAAAAAATCCATGTCTTAAATGGACATGTGCAGTTTCAAACCATGTTGTTCAAGGGTCAACTGCATGTCTATTTTAACCAAAACAAGGCCTTACTTTGTTGTTGTTTTTCAGTTAATTTTATCAGTCTTCCATATTAATGTTTTCACTTCATCTAATTGTTAATTATTTGCTTCATATTCAAATTCCCAGTGGAGGTATGGATTGCACCAGTTTCCCAAACCATGCTTTTCACCTAACAATGCCCCTTTTGTTACCCCGCCCCCTTCATCTGTTGAAGAGACCAGGCTGTTCTGCAGAAACTTCTACTTTCTGCTTTTTTCTTATTAATTTCTTTTTTTTTTTTAAAGATTTATTTATTTATGCATACAAGAGCCAGGGTACAGGCCAGAGGTGTGGTGGGTCAGAGGATCCATCAGAGACAGAGTGGGGAACAGAACAGGCAGACTGACTGAAATACACTGTGGAGGGTAGAAGCAGGCGAGACAGGATAGTCTGCTGGGCCATGTGGGTTTCTCCCTGGCTGGCCGGGGATCTAACTGGTGCTGCAGAGGCTGCGGATTGTTTCACAGTGCTGCGCTTAACCCCTTGTGCCACCAGGGAGACCCTCTTGTTAATTTCCTTTTGCACCTTTTAGAATTGACCTATAATAAACAGAACTTTAGATGGAAAGACCTGTTGAATTGATGTTACACATTTTGGCTGGGTTATGATAGAGACAAGGCAAGACAAAGCTGTTCTTCATGTGTGTCACGCACTGCCTGGTGGACTTGCCATGAGCATGGTGAGGCCCTCCATTGAATCCACCGTGCAGATGAAAGAGACCTGTGTGCTGGTCATTTGGCACTGTGTTCATGAGCTGTCAAAGACTTTTGCAAATAGTCGTGTAGCAAAGTCCCAGGAATTGGGGTCTGAAACCTGAGCTAGGATTGAGGAAGCATCTGAGTCAAGCAAGGAATGTGGCCCTTGTCCTGACTATACCCCAACTTGCTCTTAGGGTTTGGGCAGGCCACATCCTTACTTTGTCCCTGCTGAGACCTCTCATCTGTAAATCAAGGGTGCAATCATCTCCCTCCCTCACAGGTATATGTGAGAGGAGAGTAAGGACATATAGTTCAGCTGTAAGATTTTTGTTCTTACTCTTTGTGATGTCATCAGGACGATCTCTGACTTTTTTTCCAGGTCCTTTAAGGAAACATCCTCAAAATTCAAAACTCAAGAGAAAGAGGATTATGGAGGCCTCAGAAGCTCCAGAGACCTGCCCATAAGAAGGCTATCTGGGTCAGAGGACAGCACCCTTGGGGTCCCAGAGCATTTATCTTCAATACCTGTTCACTGCGGGATGGAGAACTTTGAAGGACAGGAAAGAAAACTGTCTTTATCTAAAGGATACACAGGTCTTAATTATTTCTAAATGGGGGAGAAAATAAACATCCTTAAGATGGTTTTACTTTACTTGGCTAACAATCACCATTCATTTGTTATTTATTTAAAAAACAATGGCCGTCACCTCAGCGGCAGATATCCCAAAGATACACAGACGACTTGTGTCAAGGACCTTCACAGTCTATGGGGTGAGATGGACTGGAACCAGACATTCCCGCGGGTGAATACAGGTGTCTAGGGAAGACTTCGGAAGCCCTGACAATCTGAGGTGTGTTGCCAGTAGGGAGCACGGGGTGGAGTAGGCCTGGAGTCAGTCAGAGAACATTAAGTCTGGCAGCCTGTCAAAATTGTCTGAATTTCATTTGGTGGGTAACATGGTGGGGACAGTGGCAAAGAAAACATCAAGTAGTGGGTGAGCTGGTGTGACTTGAATATTGGGGAGATGCTCAGGAGACTTTGTGAGCAAAGTGCATGAAAGTGAGAGGCAGGATGGTGAAGTTGGATCACTTTCTAATCTCATGCACAAAAAACTTCCAAATGGATTAAAGATGTAGATATAAGACCTGCAGCAATAAAATATGCTGATGGAAATATTGGCAAAGTATTCCATGATATCAGTGATAAGATATTCTTGGAGACTTGACCCCTATGGTAAATGAATTAAAAGCAAAAATAAACAAGTGGGTTACCACAAATTAAAAAGCTTTTGCTAAGTGAGAAAAAATAAAAGTAGATTAAAAAGTTATCCTATTGAAAGGGAGAAAATATTTACACATTACATAACTGATAAGAGAGGTTGATGTCTAAACTATAGAGAAAACATTCAGTTCAGCAATAGAAAAGCAATAATGGGCAACATCTGAACAGACAATTCACCTAAGAAGATATTCAAAAGGCCAGTAAGTAAATAGAAAAGTGTTCATCTTTGCTCCCAATAAGACAGAGGCAGGGCCTCCCTGGTGGTGCAAGGGGCTAAGCACAGCATTGTGAAGCTATCTGCAGTCACTGCAGCATGAGTTTGATCCCCCGCCAGTCAAGGAGCTACCCACACGGCACAACAGACCTCTCCTGTCTAGCCTGCTGCTCCCCTCAGCAGTCTATTTCAGTAGATCCGCCTGTTCTGTCTCTGATGAATCCCTTCACCTCGGCACCTCTGCCCTGTGCCTCGGTTCTTGTATGCATAAATAAATAAATCCTTAAAAAAATGAAAATATTAGGATGAATATCAATCTACACTTGAAGAAGTACAGGGAAGCATACGGGGGGGGTGGGGGGGTTGGGGGGGGAGAGATGGTGGAAGGGGGCAGTCCCACGTCTTCTTTTTTCCTTACACCTGTTGCTTCCAGGACTGTAAGGCACCGTCCTGGAGTCAGCCCTGCTTGGATGACCCATGATGGTCGTGACCAAGCAGAGAGGATTTTTCAAAGAAGGGCAAGCAGGCAAGAGGATGTTCCTGTTGATTGGGGGCTCTCTGATTTCCTCTACGCCTGAGGGATTCACTAACAAAGACCAGGAAAAAGAGAGGCTGGAGAGCAGGCCAAATTAGGGAGGTGTCCCCGTGGGCGAGGCAGCACCGCCACCTAGAGGAATGATGGGATACAACAGGCTTAATCTTCCCATCAAGGCGGGTGGGATGAAGGGGCAATTAAGGGGGTTTCTTGTGAGTCTTGGGGGAACAGGGAGGCCTCGAAAACAGGTGAGCTTTGTTTTTGGAGTCCTCTTAACTCTTATTTGAAATTCAGTAGAATTTCAGAATTTCAAAAAGGCAGATCCTTCTGCGTTCAAAACCCTCCACCAGCACAGAGGATTTTTAGGGCAGTGAAAATACTCTATTACGTGCGTGGGGCACATGTACTGTACATGTGTTCAAAACCACAAAAAGTGCAGCGTCCAGCATCCAGCCTGCACCCTGATGTAAACTATGGGATCTGGGGCCTCCATGGTGGCGCAGCGGGTTGAGCGCCGTGCTGTGAAGCTGTCTGCAGCCTTGGCAGTGCTGGTTTGATCCCGGCCGGCTGGCCTGCGAGAAACCCACATGGCGCGGCAGACCTCTCCTGTCTCGCCCACTGCTCCCCTCAGCAGTGTATTTCTGTCGTCTGCCTGTTATGCTCCCCACTCTGTCTCTGGTGAATCCTCACCCTCCCGCACCCCTGGCCTGTACCCCAGCTCTTGTAGAAAAAATAATAATATAAAATAAATCTTAAAAAAAAACAAACTATGGGATCTGGGTGATTGTGATGTGTCAGTGCAGCTTCATCAAATGTAACGAATGAACCACTCTAGCGGGGGATATGGATAAGGTGGAAGCTGGTCCTGCGGGCAGGAGGCAGGGGTAAAGTTCTGGACCTTCTGCTCTGTATGTAAAACTGCTCAAAAAATAGAACAAACAAAACTCTCTAATAGCTCTTCGTCCTAAGCAGACTAAAAGCCAAAGTCTTCTCAAAGGCCTGCAAGATTCTCTATGACAAATCCCTCCCATCCATTCTGTTACCTCACTCCCTCCATCCTTTCGTCACACTGGTTGAGCACACTCTTGCCTCAGGGGCTCTTCACTGGCTGTTTCCTCTGTCTGGATATCCTGGATATTCTTCCAGGATAACCACTTGGCTAACTCCTTCACTGCCTCCAAACCTTTGTTCAACTGTCACCACCACAGAGGTGGTAACTCCTGGGCACATCTGTTTTAAATTGCAGCCTCTCCCTCACACTCTGAATATCCATTAGTCTTTTTTTTTGTTCTCTTAAAGTACTTTAGCCCCAAAATACTATATATTTAATGATTATATATTTCTTGGTTTTTTTTTTTTTGCAAGATTTATTTATTTATGCATACAAGAGCTGGGGTGTAGGCTACAGGTGCAGAGGGGGGAGGAGAAGTTGGTGAGAGGATTCACCAGAGACAGAGAGGGGAGCAAAACAGGCAGATCTACTGAAATACACTGCTGAGGGTAGCAGCAGGGCAAGACAGGAGAGGTCTGCCGTGCCATGTGGGTCACCTCCCTGGTAGGGAATTGAACTCATGCTGCAGTGGCTGCTGATAGCTACACAGTGCTGAAACTTAACCCCTTGCGCCACTAGGAAGGCTCTATTTCTTTTTGACTGTCTCCTCCACTAGAATGTAAGGTTCCACAAGGGAAGTGCTTTTTGTCTACTTTTTTTGTTGTTGTTCCTCAACACGTAGTAAGTACTTAATCAATGTTTGTAGATTAAATGAATCAATCCCTCAAAACAGAGCATTTATTCCAACCACCTTCTGCTTCAGAGGAGGAAAGAGAGGTCCAAGAAAAGTCATACAGAAAGTTGTATAGTCAATGATAAACCTGTGACGAGACCTCAGACCTGATGACCCCCAGGTCAGAACCCCCACCTGCTCTCAGCCAACACACTTATTTCCCACAAAATGTAAATAACTCACAAGATTCAATCTTTTATTTCTCCTAGGATTGTTTGTATTTTCTTAGTTAAGATGTCACTGCTCAGGGCCCGACTCTTTGAAGTAAACTTGGGGACAACAGAAACAGGTGGTTGAGGAGGCTTCTTGGAGGTGGGGAATCTGGATATCAAAGTGTAAATGAAGGATGAATGAAATGTGCAACAAACACACATGTAGAGAACAAAAAGATAAAGAAATGTGCCAATATATTATCTCTTGGTTGAAAGTACAATGATCAGTCCTCCCCTGGTGGTGCAGGTGGTTGAGCGCAGCACTGTGAAGCTGTCCACAGCCTCTGCAGCGCCAGTTGGATCCTGGCCCGTTGGCGAGGGTCCCACATGGCACGGCAGACCTCTCCTGTTGCGCCTACCGCTCCCCTCAGCAGTATATTTCGTCAGTCTGCCTGCTCTGTTCCCCGCTCTGTCTCTGGTGAATCCGCTTACACTCCTGTGGTTCTGGCCTGTACCCCCGTTCTTGTATAAATAAATAAATCTTTAAAAAAAAAAGTACAACGATCACTTGTATTTATAGGGTTATAGGTATTTAAAAAAAATTTTAAGTATTTTCCAATACAATGAATATATTATCACAACTTTTTGAAGAAAAAATTGTTTGGCTTGCATTGTCAGTTTATCAACTTCATTTCATTTCATGGTGTTTGTTACCTGCCTTCTCAGGGCAGCTCAGTGGAGAGTAAATATGGCAAATTCAAGAAAAGGGATCTACAATGCTTCCTCTTGGGACTTTCTCTAAGGTTTGTGTAGTCACCTCATTTGTAATATTACTTCTCCCAGTGCAGGAGCATAACTTCATAAAAATCTCAAGTTGGCCCTGAGAGTCTGTAGGCAGAGAGCCTGGTAGTATTTATGGCTTTGTGACCACCAGCAGGCCACTCTGTACTGGTCAGCCTGTTCTGCCAAAGTGATCAGTGCTAAGAGGCAGATGTGGGATTTTAGCTCCTTTCTAGTCTGTATTCTAAACCATACTGGAGATGCCTTTGATACATTACAAACCTTCCATCAGGGAGAAGTTAGGAAATGAAAATGGATAGAGGCAGAGATATCTTTTGAAGACTCAGGACACCCTCAAGCTTGAGTAATTCTGTCCTCACCTACATTCTATACTGGGTTGTGCTAAGGAGCTCTGTGCTTCCTGGAAACTTTCTGTTGACATTAACAGACTGACTCCTCCAACTCATTTTTGAGAGGCCTCTCTTTCTTACCTGAAGTGATTTTTATGTCATGAGGACCAAGCTTCAAAAGGACATGTTCTAACTAATGTGCCTCTCCCATAAACCAGACCTGAAACCAAAGAGCTTAGCACAACCCCACTTATTCTTGAAACCCCAAAGAACTGCTACACTGCTATGTACCTGCTGAGTCTTACAGGTGCCATCTTGGCAGATGGAATCTTTTGGTTAGGCCTGTAGCAGCATCATATAATTACTAAAACTGGAGTTTTCAGTCTCTTCCTTTTTTGTAATACTAGCAAGGGCAGAAGTGAGAAAGGAACTAACTTCCCAATGTGTAATGGCCTAGTACTGGCCCATGCTTCAAAAAAAAAAAAAAAAGATTTAAAGATTTTATTATTTATGCATCCAAGAACTGGGGTACAGGCCAGAGGTGCAGGGGATGACAGGATTCACCAGAGACAGAGTGGGGAGCAG